TTCGAGTCTGTACTTGGTCATACACTTCCTCTCCATGATTTAAAATCATAGTTCTTATTTAGTGTGAACAAGTGTGTAATTCCCTTATTTCGTCTTGAGTTGTATTTTCTGTAAACTGTTCTGAAAACACCAAAATCTGTCTCTCAAATCCTACCTGTTTCTCATGATATTTGGACACATTAACAATATATTCTGAAAAAGTTAGATAAACACTCAGTTTGTGTAAATCGCTATTGACAGAACTCATAAGCACACAGAGCTTGAAGCAGAGTCCATTACAGATCCTACCTCCAGACTCCTGCACAGTGAGCAGACCGCTGGGAGGGAGGTGGGGCCCAGAAGGTCATCGGGAGGCACGGGCATTCTCTCTGCTTCCCAAAATGAGGGTCTGAATCATTCCCATCTTCTTTACAGCAGTGATTGGGAAGAAAATTTGTTTTGCCTGTTCAAATTCAGTCTAGCTACTTTGTCACCGGTAGTATCTACATTTGATTATGTCAACAAGTTAGTTACAAAACCCACGAAGATACTATTAAGAAGAAACACATTAAAGAAAAATATTAAGACTGCGTGCTTATTTCAGTCACCATAGAAGCTTATGTATTTGCCTTCTGTATATGCTAACAGCAGAATAGAACTTATTAAATAATAAATGAGCCAAATAATGTAACAGACAAACAGCAGCTTTGAGGGCGCGCATGCACATGCACAATTCCGGTAGTCCCACATCAGTATCATGATACACCAAAATCTGTGACAGAGCTTTAGATATGAAATAGTCAGTGAAAGGAACCTGCTAACACAAGCCTCTACCTTTCCACTGACATCATATAACAACTATTTTAAGGTTGTACATTTGTGTAAGGTACAAAGACTTGCTTTTTGTAGTTTTGATCAGTGCATCATATCTTTTCTTCCTCTTAAATGTTCTCAGGTCAAAAAGTCTGCTACCACTGATGAACACTTACTGGGCAAATACAGAGTATAATTTATAATGCACATTCCTGATGAAGATTGGTTTTGATTTGCTAAAGTACAGTCAAGCGTTTTGGGTACAGTGCCATGGCATAACAGTTTTATTAGCATGCGTTTGAGGTAACTAATGTAATTTATTAATGGAGGAAAGACAAGATTTGTAACGTTAGAAGTTTTCCTCAAATTAGCGTACTTCAGAAAAAAGAGACTGTAAAAAAGCAGTTGATCACATTATGAAGGACTGTTCTGCTGTTGGACACTATTACCAAAATGGCCCATAAATTACAAGGCTGCGGTAAGTTACAGTAGAGAAATGTTAACAGAATTTGTTTAGTGTAATCTTTGATCTCATATCTCACTTCTGACTTTACCATTCTTTAGGGACAATCCTTTTATTAATGAATGACAGTGTCACACAGAAGCTCAATCTAAAATGCACCTGGGAAGGTCTTTATTCTTCAACACATTAACAATTTTGTGCTAGCCACATCTTTTACAGGAAAATGACTATAAACCATCTTAAAGAGCTTTTAAAAATGTGAATTGGTAGGTTGACAATTTAGCTTTCTACACAACAAAAAGGACACATTCACATTATGGAATGTGCCAGCCCATACATCTATAAGAGGGAGCTGGAGAAAGAATATTGAGGGACTACATATTTGTGACTAAGAACAAAAGCTAATGGGATTGTATTTTCCAAGCTATAGTTTTAGCTGGTGCGTGCATTTTAAATCACATTGAAGGCTGCTCAGGTGTGGAATGCTAGAAATAGTCCTGCTCATGCTGAAGTTGGTGGTACAATGTCATTCCATTGATCGTAAGACCACACAATTCATGATATGGGTAAGACAATCAGTTATGCTGCATTTGTAGCTATTATAAAAACCCAACAAAACAAACACAGAAAACCTACAGTAAAATGTGTCAATTTTGCAAAGTTCTCCAAAGAAATGTAAATCTAAATTGTGGTGAAAAGCACATAACATTTCTCAAGAGAACAACTGAAGACTTTTTAGTATGAGGAAAACAATACATTTTAAATCTACTCTTTGAATGTTTAGATGATTTCAAGCATCCAAGGTCTCTTGCTGAGGCACAGCCTTGCCAGATGCAATGACCTGGACTGACAGCTGCCAGACTTGCAAAAAACACAATTCCTGGTCAGCATTTAATGCAATCAATATCCAAAATCTGATCCAAAATTTTCCTGCCTTCAGCATCTTTAATTATTCTTTTGTATTCTAGAAGGTGGCAAGTCAGGAGATTATTTATTGAAAGACCTGTGAAATATGTTCTTATCAGACAATGTTAGTCAATGCTGTGGGTTCCTTTTTTCGGCATAGAGTCACAAGCCTTTTTTTCTACTGATAATAATTTTTTTATACCTTTGACTAAACATAAAATGATCAATAAAAACGTATTTGTTCTTGCAGTGGCATCTCACAATGGCATAAATAACTTTCCTGCAAGTGAAGTCAGGTGATTGAGTCGAATACAGCAGATAGATACATATTCTCCTTTGCATTTACAAACACTGTTTTCTGACAATCCCATCCCTTTTGTTCATGACAACGGTGGTCAAACCATCCATTTTATTAGTAAATGTTGAGGTAAATTGAGTAATTAATGGTTGTTCCTGCCTGGTTATTGAAATGATTGATTTAGAAAATAAGCCTTGGTTGAAAGACATAAGGTATATGGCAGTACTTGAATTTAAATGTCATTGTTCCTCCACTAGCCTAAGTATTTCTTTTGCCTAAGAATACAGAAACTACTCTTATTTTTTTGTCACAGAAAAATTATTCAGTCAGAACAGTTAGAAATAAAAACTTATTACCTTCCTTCTTCCTTTCATTAAATTCTGCTGTGGATTAAGAACTACCATTGTATCTTGTCTTTAGCTGTTTTATGCTCAAAAAGACTGAGAAAAATCTAGTAGATTATCGACGTTGAGCGGTTTGAAAGAGCTAGAAATACTGTTCTATTATCACAGCAGGAAAGCAGGAATTTCCAAAGTGATGAGTTCATTATAGGATGCACAGACATTCTGCTGGAAGGTAGGATAAAGGCTGTACCTGAAACTCAAAGCCAGTGAATCCTAATATTGAATTGGTGCCAGGTCATGTTTTGCCAGACAAAGATATTAAAAATGTAATGCCAGTACTAACGAGAGATTTGGCACAGAAAACATGAAGAATGTTACAGATTGTGCTGACAGTGTGACACTATGTTTTCCTGGATGTAATCTGGGTATCATGAGAGTAAGCTTGGAGCACTAATGAGAAGGATGATATTGAACTGGAAAAGCTGCTAAATATGCAGTAGCCACAGGGTTCCTGGAGCTAACTAGAACTAAAATGAAAACTGTAACACCGAAAGTAACGGAGGGTAAACTAGGCAGAGATACTGAAGGAAGAGAATCTCAGCAGGCAAAACTTGTTTCTGGTATCATGCTTTCCAGGACATAAAGGGCTTTTCTAACTATACTCTTTTTATCCCTGAAGTTCTGTTAAAGAGGAGCATAACTCTTGAGCTTAAATGAGTTTCACAAGTGACTGGAGAAAGCAACGCATAGAAGCTGAACAGAAAACCTCTGTAGGTGCAAGAAGTAAAATACGCATTGAAGATACAAAGAGCACCCTATCTTTTGGGGAGTCCTGGGTTTTTCCTGTTGTCATTGTTGATTTTTGTTGGTCTCCTATTTATATCAGCTACAGCTAACGATCCTCATATGAAATGCATATAAAATTGATTGACATTGGATTCTTCTTTGACCGTATCTGTTGGAGTTCTTGGCATCCTGCACTACAGGTCTAGAAACTTACTATCCCTTGCAGGAGACATGCACCCAATTAACTCTGCCAGCCAACCAAATCTGTCTGTTAGTGTGCTGGATATTCACTTACGGAGGCAAAATCATAAATATATATATATAGTCATTGAAAAAGAAATGCATTATCATCGAGAACTGCCCTATTACCATCACTGGAACCCTAAACAGAGCGCTCTCTAATTTGTTATCTTTTCAGCATGCCAATGAATGTCCTCGTTCCACAATTCTCAGTTGCTTCCAGTGTTGCCTCTGGTATCCTGACTCCTGCTAAACCACTAACATCTTCAATTACCAGGCTATTAACCACTTATTTTTTATACCTAAAATACACAATTGAAGTTATACTTAATTGTTCCAATTCTATGAACGGAAAAGATACACAAGAAAATAGCAGACAAGCAGTTCTTTGTCTTTGAAAGTATGATAACTGATGAAATTTGGACACAGTAACTCTGAAGCTCCTTATGACTTTGCCCCAGCTGTCATTTATTTCCACTGTACTCCAGATTCACTCTCTCCACAGGAATGCAGAGAGGAAAGTTTTAAGGTGGTGTACACTTACCCTCTTCCTTCCTCAGTTTAATACTATCAATACTTGGAGATAACACATAATTCAGTTTGTATTTTATTAACATATAGTACAGGGGAAAAAAAAAGTAAAGAAAATTTAGCCCATGAAGAAAGAGGTCTACTCCACACAAAGTCCTCCTCTACTCTTTACCTGAGACAAGGAAACACTGTGAAGAAATCACAGGGTTCCTTTTTTTTTTTTTCTTTTTATTTCCCCTCCAATGTCAAGTATAAGGATGCCAAAAATAAAACAGCATGTTCTTCTGAATTCAGAACTATGTCTACTATGTCAAGCAGAAATTACTTCTTACTTTTAGTAACAGGGAACTTTTTCTTGGATGCACTTGAAAAACTGACTGCAAATGAAGATTATTATTATTTTTCTTTAAAGATTAAAACAATGATATTTGACTAAACTAATACATCACTGTTTGCCTGTAATTGTGATGTTTTGGAAAATAGCACTGAAAAAAAGTAAGTTACCATTCATAGCAACTACTACTATCTGTTTCTCCCTGCTATGTTGTATTTAAACCTATTTAATTCAGCCTTTAAAATAAGCACACAAAGGAGTAAATCTAACTTTCACTCAGTACAAGGATTAAACCCAGGAAATAATTTAATAGAACTCTACAAGAAAAACGACTTAACCGTTGAGGACAATACAGCACTAATGTGTTTCATAACCAATGTCTTACCGACTGTAAAAGGGTCAGTGCACATGTCACTTCTGTTCTCCTTCCATGCCAGCAGGTACTTGAGGCTGACGGGATCTTCTGCTTCTATATGGCTGTTAAATGCCACCATCAGTTTATGAGCTTTTGCAATGCCATAGTAAGTCTTTGTTTCATCCATTAAGGGCAAATTATTTAAAGTTTTTGCTACCTCAGAAGCCTGACTGAAATATTCAAAAGCTTCATTATAATTCCCCTAGTGAAGAAGAGAAAAAAAGAAAAGAATTATAAAAACTACTTGTAGTCCCCTGTATTTTAGCTTGACATTAAAGCCTGCTCCTCTGGCACTTCAGAGATGTTCCAGCTGAGAGGCCAGCCCACAGAATGACTCATGGCATGGTATTAAGCAAACCACTCTCCCTCCCTGCCTCCTAACCTCTAAAATCCAGGTAACATTGCTCATATCTTTCTCAGTAACAGAATTTTTTTTTGGTTGTCTGCGTAGTGCTTTGAACATACAAATCTAAGTATACCAATGCTAAGTATTAATACTGATTCCAGCCAGGCCATTTAGAAATTATTGCTATTTGTTTCATTAAATTTAACATCTCTGTGGGAGGAAAGGTCCTAATTTACTATTGTGATACTAAATTTTAGAAAAGAAATCTTAAAAATGCAAAAAAGAGGATAATGAAATGATGGACCTAAAGCACAGAAAGGAACAGAAATTAAAACCTACATATTTATGGGGGAAGAATGGGCATACCAAAATCCAGGGATATTCCTAATCACAGGAAAAGAAACAGTAGGAGAAATAGAAGCCAACTGTTGCTAAATAGAAATGCCAAATAATTTATCTCTTCATCCTGCAGAATACAGAAATCCAACGTTCATTAATCCAGTAAAAAGGATTATAAACTACAGTAGATAATACATTAAGAGGAATAAAAAAACCTGCTATAACAAGAACTATTTTTATGTTGGATATAGAAAGAAAACTCCTCAACTTCTTGACCAAAGAAGATGGTCAAGAATAAAGAGAATAAAGAGAAATAAAAGAGGAATAAAGAGAAAACTAGGGAAAATCATGACAGGCTGAAGGATACAGCTGAAAGCTAAAATATTTCTCGGTATATTTCTTCATCTTTTGCATATTTCTTCTTTGCCATGAAGAACTACTCTGAGTTACCATCAAAGATGGAGTCAAAAGAAGAGTTGCAGGAGCAAGCTTCTAACTTAAAAAGTAGCATACCGCCAGACCTAAACAGAGCATAAATAAAAGAACTGAAGAAATATAAAGACAAAGAGATCGAATTGCTGGGAAATATATTACATCTCTCATTAAAACTAGGTAGTATAATCCAGGCTTGAAAGGTAGTACATTTTGTGTTGGTATACATGGCAGTGTACAATAACTTTATGCTCTAGTACCAGTGTTGTCTAATGTTTAATTATTATAGAAAAATAATCAGATGACAATTTTGCCAAGATTGCCAATAAAGGTGAAAAAGGAAGTTTTTTGCAAGGCTTCGAGGAGTTTCAAAGGGACCTAATAATACTACCTGAGAGGTTATGTGACAGCAAATTAAATTAATTCTTTAGAAAATGAGAGGTAATTCATACTGTCTGAACTATTTGTAACTTTTAGTGGGCTCTGATTAACTCGGGCTCGGGAAGGTGGCCTCGAAATAACATGGGCAGCTCTGCAGTGGCTTCTCCTAAATGCAAAACAGCTCCAATATCTAGTAAGGTCAAACAAAATAGTAGGATGCATCAAGAATGATGAAGAAAGCTAGAGTAGATACAGTCTATGTAAATAACCAGTATATTAATAAAACTGGACAAAGTAAATATATGCCAAACAGCAAATATAAACCAGGAATGGATTGAAAATTGCTACCAACTACAATAGAAGAACAGGGATGAATTGAACACAACTGAAGAGCAAGAAGTTTAAAAATAATTACAGACAGCGCTCTCTGTGGATTGTTTATGGTGACAATCTTGATCACAAGCCTACTAAGAAGAAAGTTGTACATCCTTGTGAAAAAAAAATCAGCAAACAAGACAGGGCAAAAAATAGTCTTCCTCAGAGCAAGTAATTATGGAACTGTTCATCCTTTACCTTACTCTGAAGGAATTAGTTCTGGCTATTATCAGACAAACTTCTTGTGGCAGTTGCTATATGTCTATCATTAACACTAGTTATAGCTTGCCTGCTCCCTGGAAGATGCCTTCCAGTTCTCCCATTGGTGTGGAATCCTGCTGCCCTGATGCCACAAACTTCCTGACTGAAAACATTTACAGAGTTGTCTTATCCTTTCACTCTCAGCTTGATTTAGTAAGATTGAGATTCCCTTCTGCATAGAGTACAGAGAACAGGAGGAGAGACTCCAACTGATAACTGTTGCACTTGATACCACTTTTTGGGATCAAAATTTGCATGACTGCTAAAATGTGCCTGTAATTAAAAAAGGAGAAAAGAGTAATAGAAATTCAGGTAGACCTCAGGCTTTGTTTAATATAGCAAGAAAGAAGAATTAGGCCTATGAGGACACAGCAATGAATAAAGAACGATAAGCAGTAGGATAATCGATAAAAAGCAAACATCCACCTACCATACTCATAAGAACTATAATATGTTAAGTGATGCAATTAGTGAGCGGAATGCAGCGAATCAGACTAAGAAACTTGAGAAAAGGGAAATGAGAAATGAGAGAATGTGTCGTGCTAACTCCACCAGAGTTTGGATATTAAGTAAGAAACGTGCTTAACAAACTGGGAGAAAATAGACATAATACTTGCACGTAAGAAAATCCAGGCATTTTAGGAAACAAGAAAAATATGTGCGAAGCAATCATGGCTAGAAAGCAGGAACCAAGTGTACAGTATTAAAGACAGACAGTGATGGCAATGGAATGGTGAGATGACACAACTGTAAAGATACAGCGACAGCGTGGACAGAGCGAAGTGAATTTGGTCAAAGTCACTTTGGGAAGAACAGTAAAAGTTATATCCCTGGTATACTAAAGGTCCCTGAGGATAGATCTGGATATAAATAGAGATATCTTTAATTCGATGAGAAGGACAGTACTACTGCAAATTGCTTCACCAGGGGAAGTATGAAGTTGAATAAAAATATCCTAATAATGACTTGACTTGGGGAATACCAGCAATGACAGCTGACACCAAGCAGGCAGTGATCCAAGAGATGAAAGGTTAATTTAGACTCAGTTTTCGTAAACATTGCTGACCTTGCATAAAAATAGTACAGAAAACAGGGAATGTGAAACTTTAAGAGGTTTTTTTTTCGTATATTTAAATCACATATTTTATGTAAGTTAATAAGATTAAGGCACTACATTTGTTCCCTTCTATGCTGCTACCCCAGTTCAAGGCAGCAAATTTTGAACTGAGAATTTGGAGAATAACCAAAAAGAGGTTAATTCTTAAAATATCGCTTCTCACAGAATTATTAACAATGGTGGCAGAAACGGTGAAATAGAAAAATAATTAAACAGAATGTAGTTAATTATTTTTCAAATTTGGAGTAGAATAATTAAGCACAGCGTCATATCACTCTACTTTCTTCTAAGTTTCAGATCCATGTTAAAGTTACTCCAGCAAGTTCTTAGAGACTTTAAAACTTAGTTTTTAATGGAAAATTCAGCACTTATGCTGAGAACATAAGTGAAGAGAAGGCGCTCAGGCTAATTTAGAGATTACAGAGTAAGAAATTTTTCTACTGCTTATGAAAAAGTCACCAACTTTGGTAGTGGGAGTTCTCTGTAAGAGGAATCCAGGAAAAGAAGAGAAAGGCATTTGGGGGTAGTGTAAGTGAAAAGGGGCAAGTAGCCTGTTCAATACATTACACACAGAAAAGAAATTCTGACAAAAAAACAGGCAACAGAAGCTAGAAAGGGTGATTTAGAAAGGGTATTTCTATTTTTTTGTTCATAGTGAAAGTGTTTCCTAATTTCCATGTTGTCCAGTCTGCAGAACAAATTCTTTTTATTACTCACTGTATCTAAATAATTTCATGTAGCATTTTCAGCTGTAAAATAGGTCTTAAAGGGCTCAACATGAATCTTTCACTTCTGCGGTAACGTTTTTCACCTTTCTGATTTCAAAAACCAAGTGCTACTGCAGTGCAAGGGCTGCATCTCTAGATGTGGTAAGGGACAGAGTAAGCGTGGAAACCACCACCCACACAGGCAGCTGACAGAACTGCTGCCTTTGCGGGGTTCACCCCAGAGGAACAATTCAGAGACTGGCACATGAGTCAGTAGGAAGCACCTCAAAAGATCTTGGAAACTATGATAAAGGGAGTTTCTTAGTTACCTCTAGCTTAATATTGCCCATCACTGCCTATCTATTGATTTAAACAGGCCAAATCAAAGCCATCAGGCTGGATGGAGGCATATAGAAGAGAAAGCTCTTCCACCACAAACAAAGAACTTTGCCAAAGTATTTGCTGCTAGCATTCATTTCATAAATTTGTCTGAGAGAATGTAGAGAAGAAATCAAGCTAAGATTAAAAATTGCTTATTGGTATGCAATATGGTATAGATTCATTTTAAAAAAGCATGAATTTCAATGTATAGTACAATAAAATCTCATTTGTGTTAACTGATGACTCTTTATGGTCATGTGTGGCCCCAATGGTGATCTGGACGCAGATTTTTCACAACACTGAAAATCTGTCATGATCTGAATTTGGAACTTTTATTCAGACATTCTAGAAAAAAACCTCATTTGTTAAATATGGTGTGAAATTTCCACCTTTCCCAAAAACTTAAGGCACATTTTATTTAGTCACACCGTATCTTCTCCTTTGGTAACTCTTGTAAGATATAATACCTGGATCAAATTCTACTGGGTCATCTCATAAGCAAAACCAGATTTTTACTATGAATTAAACCCAATTGTTTGACAGCATTACTACAACCAGTACTTACTCTTTCATTGTAAATATTCCCAAGTAATAAACATGCATCCACCAGGCTTTGGCTTAGATGAGCGTTCTCAGCAGCCTTCATAAACTCTCCCAAGTACTTAATAGCTTCAGCCACTTTTCCCTGACTGAAGCAAAGGACAGAGACAAAATTAAATATTCACTTTGACAGTTTCTCCAAATGCTGAAGATCTATCCCCCTGTTCTGAACCAACTTTACTTTGTGATGACTCATCTGTGATTGGACTTTATTTCCAAGACGGTTGTGTAGGCACTACCAGTGCTGAGACCAATGAGACTAGTTCACACAGAGCCTCTGAGGGCAGAACTGGATCCTTTCAGTGAAATAAAACACAACTCTTCTTCAGAATATTGTGCCGTATTTTAAGGCCAAGAATGAAAATGCAGGTCATGATTTTACAGAGGTTTTGGAGTTTCCATTATTTTAATATTTTGTCTGCTGAGCAGCTGATAACATTTTCAATGCAGCTGGACATCACATCCTGACAAAATAGGGGAAGGAGGTAAGAAGGCTAGTTTTTTAGCAAGACTTTTTATGCTTCTGTCATTCAGAGCTGCCATTTCTTGCTCTTGAGCGCTGGTGGTGCAGCAGCAGCTCCACAACGGTGCCGTCTCTTAGTCCTGGGGGTGCCAGCCTTCCCCTGAGCGTAATACGTCACTTTGGCTCAGTGGATCAAAGGTTGCTGGAGTCACACAGGCAAACCTATAAACTGTGGATTGCAGGTGTCACTCCCAAATCCCAGTGAGATCAGAGCAACCTGAGGTCACAGCTGAATCTAAGTTGAAAATTGGCTAAATGCACTTTGACAATAACATTTGCAGATTTCCTTTTTTTAATAAAGCTGGTCAGATTAGCAATATAAGATCTCTGCAGTATGATTACAAGATATAAGATAGACATCTGGGTTTGCTTGTGAGTAAGGCACTGTGCTCTTTTTCCCTTTAAGGCTGAAGTGTTACTGCAGCTGACCTCAATATGAGCTATGAACTTGAGTCGCTAATGTAGGAGTGTAGCATGCTAAATGTCAAGCCACCAAGCAAGACAGAAAATCCAGTCTTAATTAAGAAACTCACAGAATAGAAGTTCCTGTAAGTGATAAAGAATTGTGATTTATTTTCTCACCATTTAAAAACACCTTCAAGTTATATTCCTGCAGAAAATGACTGACTGGGGTTTATTTACGTTACGGGTTTTATTACAAACTACATTAGGGATATGTGCTTTCAAAATCTGGCAAAAGTCTGCAATTCCCTGTCTTAGGATATCAGAGTAATTGTAACAGGGCAGCGCCTGCCATGAAGCAGGAAACACAGCAAAGGATGGCTGCAAATTTACAATATTGAAGTCATTATCTGTACGTGACTGAGATGAGCTAGATTGCTATAAAAGGATGTTAAAACACTGCAAACTAACATGCTTGAAATGTTCAACTATATGCTACTGTAAAGCTTGGTTGTCAATAAGCAGAGTTGGATTTACTAAAGTTTCTTAATTCAAGTATTTTAATATAATGAGAATATTAAATATACTGTACTGTAAACACTTGCCAAATGTCAAAAGGCTTCTAAATTTTAGAATTAGAAACACATTTTTTTAAACCTGTTTTTTTTCCCTAAGATGAGAAAATCAGATGTTTCCCCACAGAAATACAGCATATGATTTATATAAGTTAAAGGACAAGGTTAAAATGTTAGACAAATATTAATTCCAGTTTTTCTAGTTTTCTATATGCAGTGCACAGGTGCAACTTGAGGAGCATATTATATGGTATAATCATTAAATCCATTCAACCAGACCTTTGAGAGTTAAAAACATATATTCTGAGGAAAAGGACTCCTCGGTCCAAGGAATGAGAATGAAACAGTGCAGAATATTTGTGTATCAAGGTGATTCCAGTTTCCAATTGGGAAAACAGGACTGTTAACACCCACATCCCCTGACAACTGTCCAATTATGTATATCACACTTGGCCTACTGTTTGCAGTAGAAGTAATCAATAAAGGATGTGGTTGAGTGAACATAGATTTTGGTTGAACCAATGCATGAAAACTTAATCATTTACTCAGAGTGGAGAAATCAAATAGAGCAGAGATGAAACAGCCACTAAGGGGTTTGTTGATTGTGCCACCAAGTTTGTGGGCTAGAGGCTGAAAGTAATAAAGCAAATGGAATCAGTGACAGGAGAAAATGTAAAAAGGTTTTCTTAATTTCATGAATTAATAGAAATGTTTTGATGTATTTTTGGCCATTTTTTATATTTCACATAAAAAGCTATGCTCCATGTATAGAAAATATGAAAATTGCTAGGGCATATAACCTCTTTCAAGCAAACAGAAATCAATTTGGTACATAGCAGAAAGATATTTCTCACCCTTAGAACTTCACTTATGCCAACTAGCAATTGGTTGGTACAGTTTAACAGTTTTTCAAAGGAAATACTTTTAAAAGCACTACAGCTTGAGATATTTAAAGTGTGCTAGAAGGATTACTGAAACACTTTACCCTGCACAAGCCCTGGTAACTTGATAAACAGGTCTTTCCTACTCAAAGGGCTAACATTTTATAGTTCCTTCAGAAATCTACATGTTATTTTACACAGCCATATACTTTCTATCTCCTTAGACATCACCTTCCTAAATGCATAAAATGTAATTTCCTAAAGATATAGTCATTCATGATCCCACAGAACAGTTATGATGACTTCAGCAGAAGAGATTACATATCTACAGCAACTCATTTTCCAGTTTCATGCTAAAATGCCCTATGAGATTTTTACCCCATTAGACTTTTATGAAAATATGCACCTTTTATAGGATTGCTCATGTGATTGAATTGGATGTATAAATCATGTGTCCACAAGAAGTCATTACCATGGTGGACACTGGCAGAATAAGTCAAGAACATGATGCTATTATGTCAGATTTTTCCCTGGGAAATGACATGCCTAAATACACATGATAGAGATTTTCAGTTTCCCGTGGTCTGTGGAAACATCTGCAGCAAAGATTTCACAAAAAATTCAACCATAGACAAGTTTTGAGTGATTTGGGATGGCTCAGCCGCTTGCCACTTTCTCCAGTCTGTCAAAAGGCAATCAGTGCAGATTCTCACAGACATTACAGTTACAATGCATTATTTTAGGGAAGCACAGTCATCTTTTCTTTGCAAAGGCACTATCCATAAAATTTAAAATTATTTGCACAAGTCTAACCTAGATTAGGTAAAATTACAAATAAAGAGAAAGTGATCAAGCTGCCTGGACACTGTTGGTGACAGTGTATAAATTCATGCATTTATCCAATATTTTCTAAAGAGGATGGCCAGGAATTTACTTTTTGCTATACATCAGACAAGTAAATATCCAAAAGTTTGGTGTGAGAGTAAACATAAACTTACAATTTTTTTTAGTATCTTTCTTTGCATTGGCTTTTCACACCATTTTTCTATGGCCTTTCCTCCTCCAACTACTAAGGAAGAACCAGTAGAACTGGACCAGCATGATTTTGTTCATGAAAAATACTGCTATTGAATTTTGAAAAGTAGGTTTTTCTGAAATATCCATCATTCTGTGTTACAGAAAGCTTTGTATTAGGGAGCATTATATGGCAAAAGGGAATTTTGCCCAGAGAAGTTGTAGATGCGCCATCCCTGGAAACATTCAAGGTCAGGTTGGACAACACTCTGAGCAACCTGATCTAGTTGAAGATATCCCTGCTCATTGCAGGGGGTTGGGGCAGATGACCTTAAAAGGCCCCTTCCAACCCAAACTATTCTATGATTCTATGAATTTATCTAGAAGGACTGCTTAAGACAAGGATCCCAGAATCACAGTACAGTTAAGGTTGGAAGGGACTTCTGGAGATCATCAAGTCGATCTGCCTTGCTCAGAGCAGCGTCAACTAGAGAAGGACTGTGTCCAGTGGGGTTTTGAGTGACTTTTGATGGAGGCTCCACAATCTCTCTAGGCAACCTAGAGAGTTCCAGTGTTCACCCTCAGAGTGAACATTTTTTTCTTATGATTAAATGGAACTTGTATTTCAGTTTGTGCCCATTGCCTCTCGTCCTTTCACTGAGCATCACTGAGAAGAGCTTGGTTCCCTCTTCTTCACTACTGCTTAAGAGGTACTGATATGATCCCCCTGAGCCTTATCTTCTGTGGTCTGAAGAGTCCCAGCTCCCTCAGCCTCTCCTCCTAGGACAGGTGCTTCCAGTCCCCGAGTCATCTTTGCAGCCCTTCACTGGACTCAATCCACTACACATCTCTCTTGTACTGGGGAGCCCAGAATGGGACACAGCACTCCTGGGGTGACCTCCCCAGTGCTGAGTAGAGGCAAAGGATCATCTCCCTCCATCTGCTCACAATGCCCTGCCTAATGCAGCCCAGGATCCCGTTGGTCACCTTTGCCCCGAGTGTGCGTTGCTGTCTCATGGGCAACTTGTTGTCCACCAGGAAACCCAGGTGCCTCTCTGCCAGTTCCTTTCCATCCTGTCAGCCTGCAGCCTGGGCCAGTGCCTGGGCTTCTCCCTCCCCAGGTGCAGGACTTTGCATTTCCCTTTCCTGAACTTCACGAGACTCACATTGGTCCATTTCTCCAGCCTGCTGAGGTCCCCCTGAATGGCAGCACAACCACCTACCTGGTGGATCAACCATTCCTGCCCAATTTTGTGTTGCCCACAAACATGCTGAGGGTGTGCTTGGTCACACTATCCTGAAGACGTTAATCAGTATTGGTGCCAGTATTGATGCCTGAGTACACCACTAGTGCCTGACCTCCCACTGGACTTCATGCTGCTGCTTGCAACCCTTTGAGGCCAAGAACTCAGCTAGTTTTCAGGTTACCCCACTGTCTGTTTGTCTAAGCCATATGGATATGAATATAAGTATATATATGGGTATACATACATAAAGTATATATATTCTTATATATGAATAACCATGAATTATGTATCAGAGAGCTGAAGGGAACTGTGATTGTGGCTGGTTCCCACATGCTCTAAAAGGCCAAGTGGCATGGCATCTAACTCAAATGTGAGAATTTGCTCCACACACTTAAACAAACCAGGTGATAAGTTCTCCTTCATAAAAAATTTGGCAACCTCTATCATGCATCATATGCACTGAAGTCCCCAAACATAGGATGAATCAAGGATAAGCTGCAACCTTCATTTTAGTCTCTTTTTTTTCCTACTTCATAGGATAATTGCATTAGACTACTTTATGTCAAAATTAATTGTGTAAGAAGTTGAAGTGGTTTCAAACTAATTCACCTGGAAGAAGATTTTAATGCCAGATGTTGAAATGAAAACACTGAAGACAAGCAACTTACCTGCAACAAATATATACCTTGTTATATATGCAAATATATATACAGTTATACATGCACAAACCAGAAATATCTCCACAGAAGAAGTCAGTGTAATAAATGAAAACTTAAGAGTTCAGGAAAGATCACACTGAGATACCTACTGAAGCTTGCTACATTCTTCAAGGTTTTCTGTCTTTTTTAACTTGGAAAATATGCCTGGATTTCTATTTTCCAGTCAGTTCCCTCCCAAAATTCTTTTTGGGGGGGAAAAAAAAAAAGAATTTAAAAAGTCCCCAAAATGTGGTGGAAAAAAAGACATATTCTAGTTTACAGGTAAAGAAAAGCTAGCACCATACATTTTAAAAAACATGTACTAGTTTAAAATAACTTTCGATGAAAGGGTCACTTACTGCAAGAAGGGCACTGCTTAAAATTTAAGCAGTCAGTAATGGGAAGTGACAGAGCTCTAACAATTTAAGTCTTTCACAGTTGAATGAATCTGCACTGACAGCCAGACAAGGATGTGCTAACCTACCTTACCAGGATCTTGGCTATAGCTGCATACGCTCTGCCGAGGCCAGCAGAATCACAAAGTGCTGTGAAGATTTTTACAGAGGTGTTCAAAATCTGTGAAACAGGAAAATAAAACCCAATAAATACAATGCTAAGTATTTCCACTTTTTTTTTTTTTCAGTCTCTGTGTCCGGAACACAAACTTAAAGTTTTCCCACCTGTACATTTCTTCTTTAATTAGTTGTAATGGGACTAGGTTTTTGATCATTACTTATAGTCATTTGAAACTACTCAAGAATGACAAATTTAAAAGATACAACTTGCATTTAAATCCCTGCATTTTGGCACTTTGCAGAAACCAAAGAGATACTACCTGATTTGCAATATGGATTTCCTTATCCATCATTTAAAACATTTTAAGAGGCCATGCTTTTATGAATTTCTGATAATCAATACCTTCAGATGGTAACCATTGCATTCATAGTATTTTAGCAAGATATGTTGATATACAACTTAATATTATTTTTCTTTCTTTAAACTGTCACTATGGTAACTTTTCTTAGTACAATTCAGATGCTGAAAAAGTGAATAAATTAGGGGTTATACATTAAAACTATTTTGGCTTAAAATACTGTAGATAATTTTGTTATTTTTATGCCTAATTATTCACACACACATTGTTAACATTCATTTGGAATGTGCTCTATTATCATGAACCCTCTCATAACCTGCTGCATAAAAACATATGATCTTAATTCAGTTTAATGCTGACATCACCCATATTGCATAATTTCTCTTTTAATCCATTTTTTTCTCCAATGGTGACGACGGGAGAGCGCATATAAAATGAAATCTTACTCCTTCCTCCCTCCTCTTTGTTGCTTGATCCAACCTATTACACACATGAGAAAACAGGAAATCTCTGAAGACTATCTATGGAAATCCTTTTTGCACATTTCCAAGAACGGAGTAGTGAATGTCATTTACCAGCCCTGAAGGGGGATGGGAGATGCCCAGGGACGTACGACAGTATCCTGCATGCCCCAAGATGCCTATTCATAGAGAGGTAAAAGATAGGGCATTTTCTATTAAGACTGCATCCCCTGTCATTAGCAAAGTGCATGGTTCGAAAGAAGACAACTTGTGTCTGCTAATGCTATGGATGTCACCGTTTCTATCACCGTTTCCACTATCCAGATTTCCTAGTTCTTGAAGGAGTTTTACTACATGCAGGATTATCCCTGGACAAGGCTCTTATTTTTTAGTTATATAAGCTCCCTGTGCACAAAAAGTAGCATTTATTAATGCGCGCTGCACTATTTATCGTCCCTCAAATACTTTCTTAACATTAGTTATGTTCTCACGTCCATCAGCATTGCATCTTGTACTTGCAGGTCACTGCCAATTGAGTTATCAATGCATAAGATGTGACAAAAAGAGAGTGAAGGCACCTCAGTTAGGCAGTTGTCACATCAGTTCAGAACTGGCCCTAAACTGAATGCACACTCAAAACTGCCACGACCTGCAGCGCGTCCTTCTACTACTCCAGACTGGTAACACACGCACACAAGTGTCCAAGAGACAGCTCTTGGTTTTGCATTTCACTCAGAGGACCTACAACATCTGTTGCAACAATCGGGCCCGTATCAGAAACCCTGCCGCAAGAGTGTCAGGAGCTTTCCAAAATTTTATGTACCGGACTGAAATCACTCCTACTTTAAACTGGTCTCTACGAAATTAAACTAGGACACAGGGCCTCCAGTGGTTATGGTCTAGCACAGAAAGGTTACTTAGGCACCTAAGGTTTAGGCTGCTTTTTTTCAATCAAAGACATCACAAAGCCTAAAAAGTACGATGAAACCAAGGGAAAACTAAAGTCAGAGTAGCTAAAGTAAAAAGTTGGTTCACTGCCTCTCTGCAACAGCTGCGAGAAAGAAGGAAGGAAGCAAATGAAGCAAGCCACTCATTCATATGGATGAAAAGTGCTCTTTTTGGTCCCAGGTTACTACGACTCTACACAAATCAGATGCTTCATTCTAAATAATGCTGAAATAATAATTAAATAATTACAGGAAAGGGAGGAAATCTTGATAAATTACAATAGAAAATATACTCTTTACGTCTGTATTTCAGATAACTCCTCCAGCTTCAGACACTATGTAGGGATACAGAAAAGGACACATTCTTGATGGAAAGGAGCTGTGTAGTGCCCCTATATGCTACAGTTGCCCAGCATCCATTTATCTGGAGGAACTGAAGAGGGGCCTCCTCACCTATGGTGCATATCTTCTCTTCAACATTCAGGACTGAAACAAAAAAGGAGGTCGGGCAGGATAAAATGCTGGATTAACACATAGAGCATTAGAGGATTTCACCCAAAGTCTCTTGCAATTACAGCACACTTTTAATTTTCATGTAAAATGAAAAATTATAAAGCTTGCATGCTGGCAAATCAAGTGGAATTGACACAGCGATGTCTGCCAGAATCTGTAAACAGCCTGAAAACAACAAATGGACATGAAAACTTTCCTGTTTATTTTCATGGGATAAGAACAACCAGTCCATCTAACTGGGTTCCTATGAAAACCACGTAAGAGAGGACATGCATGTAGCAAGAGAGTACTGAATGGGCATGGGTGTGCCAGTCATCTATTAGCTCTCTGACATAGTAGATAAATATTGGGAAGACATATCATTTGGATCTAATGGAATTTATATGCTCCCATGAAAGTTCTTCTACCATTAGACAGAAATATAGCCAGAAATGGGTCTTATATATATTTTGGTCAATCTGTGCAGAGGAGAGTGACATCCAAGCAAGAGGTGGAATATATCAATAATTAATCCTGAAAACTCCTACACAAATGTGCAGTTTTGCTGCATTTGTGCTCTTTGAGAATACAGCTGTCATTACACAAACAAAAAGGATGGAAAAATTGTTTTAGACAACAGAACAAAAGTCATCTTATTAAGGGAAAGTGCTTCCGCTTCAGTATTCTATGGTAAATATTGTGCATTAAAATGTCATCTTGGTAATCTTCTTCATGTTAAGGAAATGTAAACAAAAATATATAACATTGTGTAAAGAGATATTGAATGAGGCTACATAAGAATGTATACTGGTAATGTACATTAAAAAGAGTCGGTTTGGGTATTGTATGAATCTAGCTGAATTTCCTTCTCAAAACTCAGACAAAGTTTTCAGAGATTTAGAATTACTGAAGAGGCAAAATGCCTTCTTTTTTGTCCTTGCTGGGTTTTTTTTTTGTTTGTTTCTTTTTAAATTTGCTATGTACAAAGAGTTCTGAGGAAGGAAGCTGTTACAATGGATTTATCCTGATCATGCTAGGCTCCATCATAAAATTTCCATGCTGTTTCAGAAAGAATTTGATACTCCTATCAACTTGTGGAAAAGACCATTGTATAAGCAATTGAACAGATTAGAATAATGTACAGTTCTTTCTACCTTGAAAAAGAAAATGTAAGGTAAGTTTTAACAAAAAAACCCCAAAACCTGCAGTGATTCGGGTCACGAATTAGTTTTTGGCTCTACGTGACCCAAGTACACTGACTGTCTCAAACTTCCTACTTGTGTGGGTCCGCAGTGGAAATACTGGTTAAAAAACAAACAAAATTAAAATCAAAGTCCAATACAGAAATGAACAGTGGGTTTCAATCACTTGTTCTCATCCGTGCAGGATGTGGGGTAGTGGCAGGGTAAAGACTTCAACTTTGTCTTCCACATTACAGACAACTGTTCCATGTGCCACCCACTATTATTTTGGTGTATGGAAAAAATAGAAAAGTAATTTTTATAGCTCCAAAATAGAAAGAAAAAAAAATCAGGATGCATTGTACAATTTCCCTTGTTTTCTTGCTTAGCTCTAAAAGCTGGATGCAGGTGCACCTGGAAGGCTGATAGCTACTGTGGGAGCATCCATTTACAAAATCAACTCTCCTCCTGGGTCTTTGTGAGTCTATTGTGGCTACAATTAGTTACAGTGTAAAAATAAAGTAAAGTAACAAGCTCTGCTTAAATCCTCAAACCAGAGCCTGTTTGTGGTATAGCTCTTGTACTAATTCTCTAGATAGTGGCAAATTTCATGTTTGCCTCCTTTGCCAAGAAAAATATTTGTCAGATCTCAGGCCCAGATTTGCTTCTCAGTTATCTCAGCATTATGCCAGTGTGACCCTCCTGGGGTTATTCCATTAATAAAGATCAGAAATACCAGCTCCTGCCCCAAGACTTCCCTTCCCCTCTCCCCCGCAAAATCCCACCCTTTATTTTTTATTGTTGTCACACCTGTACTACTTTCATACATGCATAAAAACATGCACACACCTCATTGGCATACACTGAGGACTTCGACAAAAGGACATAGTCTGTGCCAAACATTGATACATCTGGGGATAATGGACAAAAGAGTAAAAATTGAGGGTATGAATTTATGTTGAATAAAGAACGTCTATCCACCTCAACACAAGATTAATGCTACTACCAATATTTCATTATTTTGGTAAAATACATTAATCTGACAGAAACATGATAGGATATTATTGATTTCTAATACTGTAACTTTAAAAAACACAAAAAGTTTTAGTTCTGCTCTTAGCTTTGCACTTGATACTGTTGTCAAACTTAATTGGAAATACATTTATTTTGATTTCTGAAAATCTAGCTGTGTTTAGCCATTTCACAGCTGGTGAGCAGTAAAGATGCTTCTGCCTCATTAACAGATCTTGAACATGAATCAGACAATCAACTGGAACATTAGTCAAAGAGATCACTAGTTAATGATTTCTGACAGGCGCAGCAGTAACAGGCTATGGCCCAGCCTGGCTGGCAGCATCTGACAATATTTTCCTGGAGCCAGCAATAGGTGTTGGTAGACAGACAATGCCATGGGGTGAGACTACTGGCCTCACACCACTTAGCACCTCTTAAATACTTTCAGAAAAAACACATAGCTCTGACAGTCACTAAATAACCACTCCCTACAGTCCAGTGAAAATAAAAGACAATAGAACTGAATGCATGGGCATTTTGCAGTTCAGTGACCTCTCTCCCATAGCTCCCAAATGCGTATTAAAAAATGCCTAAAAAGTGCAGCTTT